CTCACATTACTCCGCTCATCGCATTGAACTCTGTCTAAATACATAACTGTTACCCCAAACACATTGTTTTTGAGGTCGGAGACATAGCTTTTTCTCCATGCCTAGTACTTTGCCTGGTGTAAGCCCTCAGTGAATATTCACTGACTGAATGAAAAAAATAAACCACCATATTTTTGTCTTGTCACAAATCACCTAGTTCTTCTATATAAGGTCTAAGCTGGATGTACACTGACAACAGGATATTTGTGTCAACCTCTGTTTTTGGTTTCTATCCACTGTTTGTTTTAAGCACAATTTTATAATCACCCTCTCACCATAGAAAGCTGCTTTTGGCATGAAGGTGGTGACAAAATATCAAGTCCTATCTGTGAATCAAGAGGAGAATTCTTGGGTAAACAGTGGGTCACCAGTATTCGAGATACGGCATAGAAGAGTTGGTAAATGACAGTTCCTTTTATGGCTCCATTTCTTATTAGAAACACAAGTTGAAGGATTATCTGTCACCCCCTAAAACAGAAAATGCTCATTTGGATATAAACTGGAAGTGATATCAGTATCTTCATGCCAAGTGAGTCCTTTAAAAGAGGATTTTTAGTCTGAAACAAATGGAATTTAGATCTGAGAGTCCGCTTATTCAGGGTTCTATCACTGTTTAACTCCCAGTCTTCGCCATCTTGCTGAGAAAATGCTGCCCAAATACTAATGTCCTCTCCGAGCCTGCTCAGCTGAAGTGGGGGACGTCCTTGGTACATAAGCACATATTTTGCACTTGAAATAATACCCTCACACTCATTGATAAAAGGCTTCATATTCAAAATAGAGAAGAATTTGCCAGTATGGTCTTCCCTTAACATGTATAACATCTTGAGCAGACTCCAAATCAACAAAGAGTGACTCCAGTAGAAGCTGTTTGGGCCAATAAAAGGCACAGGGCATCCCAACTCTGAACCTACTTCCAATGTTTTGATTATTGCCCCCACTGACCTCACGCCAGTGTTCCATTTTGCCCCAGAGCTACAGTCCCTACTCAAACGTGAGGGGTGCTCGTAAGGACTAGAAGTTGGGAACACAGTTAACAATAGCCATTGTGCCTGCATAACAGATTCCTCTTGGTCTTCGGCCACCTTCCTTAGAGCGGCCCTCTGTGGCATTAATATTAAACCAAAGTGAGTTCTTGAATTCTTTTCTAGTAGGTGAGACCACACTGGCCAGTTCCCACCCCCATCCTTTAACGAATGATAGGATTTGTGACCTTCTGGTCTCCTCACCACTTCAGAAGATGACTACTCTTTAGAAATTTAAAAGTCTTGAATGGCGGGTGTGCCATAGAAAGTTTAAGGCTGGAATGTAAAAAAGAGATTAACTCTGTGGATTTTCCAAGTCATTAATTTTTAGGGTTCATCTTGTGTTACATCTAAGCTTTTGGGGGGGGGTTGTTTGTTTTAACATTGCAGCACTACCTAAAACAGTTTTGTTTTCCATAGGCAGAGAAATGTGAGTCAGAGATTTCTCTCTTGCTAACTGGCATAGAATGGGGACACTTTTCTGTCATTCTGAGTCAAACCCACATAGAATTTTAACAATTTTTTGTTCATATTTTTAAAAAAGGAAAGAAAGATGTTAATAACACTCCTTTAATTTTACATTTTCATATATCAGAAAAAAATTACAACCAAGGAAATAGTTTCATAAGTTTATTCATTCAGCAAACTTATTGAATAACTATTATGTGCCAGTCACTACACAGGTGTTGACTAACAGCAGATATACAAAAGAAAAAAAAAGAATATGTTTATTTTGACTTCCCTGGTGGCTCAGCTGGTAAAGAGTCTGCCCGCAGTGCAGGAGACCCAGGTTTGATCTCTGGGTCTGGAAGATACCCTGGAGAAGGAAATGGCAACCCACTCCAGTATTCCTGTCTGGAGAATCCAATGGATGGATAAGCCTGTTAGGTTACCATCCATGGGGTCACAAAGAGTGGGACACAACTGAACAACTTTACTTTCGCTTTCACTTTACAGCTCTAAATTTAAGAATGTGTATTCTGACTGCTATCACATCACATAAGCTTAAAATTTCCTCTTGTCCACTTGCTATCTGTTCACTTGGAAGAAAAACTTCTCTGGCAAGAAATGTTAGTCAATATGGAAAATACTCATTGGCATAAATTCCAACTTGTAACTTAAAAAGCAAGAAGAAATATATCTATGTCTCCAACTTGGGTGAGACCAGTTAAAAGTTCCTCATAAACCCATAAAAGGACATAGGCTTTGGTTTCCTTGAGGGTTTCTGAAATGAATCCATTACATTAAAATTGCTCTTAGTAGCAAGAGCAAGTAATGATTTGCATTATAAGCTAATAAAATGGGGGATTAGGCATATCTGTACAATAAGATCATTTTTATTCACTTTTATAGAGATTCTCTCCCTATCCCTGCTTAAATGAACTTGGAAGATTATTCACCACTCAGTATTGCTTAAATTATAAGGCACCAATCTGTCATCTGGTTTTTAAATATTTTTCCCCTTTGGTAATGTAGATGAGTAATGTCTATCTCCATTCTTTAAGAATACACTAATATAATGACAGTCTAATTTTGAAAAAAAAATTAGTTTTTCTTAATATCTCACAGCTAAAGATTTCCTGACATATTAGAAACAGAATATTCTTCCAAAATACACTTTTCCAGCCATGCTGAACATTCATAGTTCAGTGAATTGCACTTTCCATTCCTGTTCAATGAGTGCTACAAGTCCTCTCACATAAGCAAATCTCCTGGAGAAGACTTGATTGATGAAGTCAGTGTACTTGTCACGGTGTGTGTTAAGTCACTCAGTCGTGTCCAACTCTGTGTGACCCCATTGACTGCAGCCCGCCAGGCTCCTCTGTCCATGGAATTCTCTAGGCAAGAATACTAGAGTGGGTTGCCATTCCCTTCTCCAGGAGACCCACTAGATCAGTCATGGTACTCACCAGTAAAAGTGATGGCTTTATCGTCAATCATGATAGCTATAGATCCGAGAGTCACTTCCAGTGTAAAAGTGTGAGAAAAGGGCCTATCCTGCCAACAAAGGGAACCTAGAAAGTTTTGTTTCACCCTTGTGACTCTTTCATGCGATATTCCTAGATTTTACATCATCAAGGTAAGAATGAGAGAGATGTATTTTGCTTTTGCAATTTTCCAATATGCCAAATACCTACTTGTTTCAATTTAAGAAAGCAAGAAAAGTATTTTTATATATTTCAATTTCACTTTGCTCTGAAAGTTGAGTACTTAGATCTTACCAAATTAGCAACAATTTCTCTGGTAAAACAAATGTGAAACGCCAGAGGTTTGTTCTATGGACAGGAAGTGATAATCCTCCAAATTTCACTTAAGGCTCTTGATTTATTTTCCCCTCTACTACCTGATGAGGGACATTTTTCCTAATTGTTGCTCCCTGTTAGTAACGAAAATCCTATTTGTTTGTGGCAATTTTCAAAACTGAAGCTATCAAAGAATGCACTTATAACTTACTTTCCAAGGAAACTGCTTGAGAGTTTCTATACCTACGTCACTTCTTAATATTCCCCTCCCAGACCTTCCTACAAGTGAATTTTCCCAGAGGAATTTATTACATATATGAAGAATTTAGAAATGGATCTGCCTGCTGCCACTAAAGTTTTCCTGGTTCCTTCTAGCTACTAAGGGATTACATGACTGATTCACTCCTCTCCTTGTCTCCTGGCAGCTAAATGGGAATATTGGAGAGCTGCCAGAAGGATAGGTAGCCAACCTGCTTGCCCTTGATTGAGCCTGCCAGCTTTTTAATAACAGAAGTAGGGTCAAGTAAGTGAAATCACAAACTGAGGAGAGTATTCTGAGAATGCAAAGGCAGTTAATGTCCTTCCAAACCTCGGATGGCTGGCAACCCTTGGCAGAATAATCTATGATTTGTGGCACCTGACCCTTCCACTGTGACTGTTAGCTGTGTATTCACTAGAAACATATTTACAGAATCTCTCCATTAGCAAAGATGCCTAGTGTGTGATTACCCAATTGTCATGGTCACACTAGGATTTTGATACAGTCTCTATTCACAAAAGAAAAACTGCACTAAACTGCACACAGGACTCATTTAAAGCAGGGATCCTCAATCAATAGATCAAGACTTCTGGTAGATCTCAAAGAGATTATCACAGTCTGGCTCCCCCTCCCTCCCCACCCCAAGACCACATTCCCACCTCCCCCCATCCAAAGGCAAGACAGAATCTCCTTTATTCCTTTGAACCCTCAAGAATTCTTAATAAAGTTAAGAATAATTAGCTATAAGAATTATCCAAAGAGATGAGACTGTTTAAAATAGACTCCATCTCAGAAAACACCGGAAGAGAAAACTACTTGTTTAAACTAGCTATCATTGCTCACATTTATGTAGTACTCTCAGCAAAGTACTTTTTCCTCATTTTAAAATGTTTTATTTACAAAGGCAGAGCTAGGCTGTAGGCTGGCTTTCCTTCATTACTAGAATCAAATACAAAGAACATTTAAAAAAATTTTTTTGTCTGCGGCAAGTGACAATAACAGCACTTGCCATGAAAAAGTTTATTGGGAAGTTTCAAAAGTGGTATCTCCCTGCTCCTTTCGCAGATATATAGCATTGAGGTCTAGGTACCAGAAAATTCTTCTTGTTTACATCCTATGTTGGCCGGCTCCAGGGTGCATGAGAAAGGTGAAGCAGTCAATTAAGGAACTGAATCAGACTCACTGGGAGCAAATATGTGGTCGTGAATCAAAACAGAAAAATACCGATAAACCGAAGTCACTGGTATATGTCTCCCAGATGAGATGATCTGAGTGACAAAGTTGCATCGGATAAATAAATGAAGGCGATAAACTCACCACAGTTCAAGAACTACTACTAAGGTGACCTTATCTGATAGTTAGTAACCGCGGGCGACCCTGGGGAACCGCAGTGGGGTGAAACGCCCTGAGAATCGCTGAGATCCTGCCGGCTTGTCAGGGGATGCCCGGAACCCCGCGTTCCGGACCGAGCCCGCCGGAGAGAGGCTGGAGGCCGCCGGGGGCGCTCCGGGCCTGGACGCTGGCCGGAGCCAGGCAGAGGGGCCCCACGCCGGCCGGGCCGGTACGAGGGCAGAGGAAGCGGAGCGCGGAGGAGACCACCGGCCCTCTCCCAAGTCCAGGCGCTAAGGGGCCACAGTAGATCCCGCGGGAGAAGGGGGTGAAGGAGCAGCTCCGGACCACGCGGCGGTTGCAGTAACCGCGCCGCCTGGCAGTCGCGCCGGGCGCCTTAGAAGCATCGGCTCCTCCTCGGAAACCCGGACGCCGGCCCCGACCGGCGCCTGCTGCCCGGAGCTCGCGCGGGGACCAGCAGGCCAACCGGCGCGGGTGGGAAAGCCCCGCGCTCCAGCGGACCTGCGGAGCCCAGTCGGGGACTTGGGGACGCCCCAAGAGTTTGGGCGCCCCTGGAAGCAGGGAGTCATCACGCGGTTCTTCCCAGGCGACCTGAATTCAGCCCTGAGAAGAAGCTCCGGGCATTAGCGTGGCCACAGGGGAAGAAAGAAGAGTTATTTACATGGGGGGAGGGGCGGGTAGGAGGACTAGGAGGAAACCTTGCCGAAAAGAAATCCCCCATCACCACCAAAACCGATCCTAAGAAGTCCTGAGGTTCTTCGCCTGGAGATTTCACTTTAAAAGCTGAAGAACAAAAAAAAAAAAAAATTATTCCACTGCTTTTAATTGAAGTAAACAGTGCAACAAATCCTAACTCAAATATGATTGCAGTGAGATTAGGGTCTAATTGCTTAGGGTTCAGGTGGAATCTGCGGGCTAAATCCTACAGGGCCAATCTGAATTTCACAATCATTCTGTCAAAAGGAGAGCGATGAGAGCCCACACGCTTCCTAACAAGTCATTTTTAACAGTTACAAGCTTCGCACAAAGACCACACAGGGCGTCTAAGAGATGCAAATCTAATCCCTGGTCATTCTACAGGCCTTCAACAAAGATGTGCTAAACCCTAATAGAAAAGAAATCAGTTCTCTGTCACCAGCCCCCGGTAGACTCTATTAGAGAAAGGACAGAGCCGCATCTACAGCAGTTGCTGCAAAGGTTAGGGACAAGTACAAATAAGAGGGACCCAGTTTTGTTTTCCGTGTGAAATATCGGTCGAAGCTAACCCCAAATGAGTGACGGGATTCGATCCGTGGCTTCGCATTCATTTGAATGCTAGAAAATAATAATAATAAACACACGCATTAAGACTTTCGAAGACTCCGTTTCTGAACTTTAGGAGATGAAACAAATCCCTGCCCCCCCACCCAAAGTTGGACGTCTTTGCCTCCGAAATTATCGAAGAATAGTAACGGAGGTGAGAGGTCCAGGAGGGAGGACCTGGGAATCTGGAGCCGGCTGGCCGGCCTTTGCTTGCATGCGGTGCCTCTTCATTCGCAGGAAAAAAACCCGACGGCGGAGCCGCCGTGGGGCCGGGGCCCGGGATGCGCCACGCTTCCGGCCGCTGGGGCCGAGCGGCGGCCGCGCTCGGCCTGGGTCCTTCTCCTCGGTCCCTCTCGAGGGCTGGGGGAGGGAAGGTGTGTGGGGCCTGGTGCCTCGCAGGCCCGGAAGCATCTCAAATGTGCCCTTCTGCGGTCACCGAACACATGAGGTCCTCATGAACAGTGTCATCATACTGAGGTATTAAAAGAGTTAATACATTTCCGCTCAAATGTATCACACTGTGCGCGAGACCCTTTAAAAAGGGAGGGCCCCGGGGAATCCAGGCCCCTGGGAAAAGCCGGCAAGCCGGCTGGGCGAGGGGAGCAGGGGATGCCGGGCCGGTCACTGAGGGTTGAGGGGATTCCCTTCTCTTCCCCGCGGGGCAGAGACCCCGGGGACCCGGCCAGCCCTGGCCCCTTCCCGGGCTTCGAGCGCCCCGTACAGCCGGGCGCGCCCGGGTAGAGCCTGGAGAGCGCTCTCCTGCACAGACGTAGTTCTGCCCGCAGCGCGTTCGCCGGGGTCACAGGGAATCGACCGTCCCCTGCGACCCGTCTTCCACCAGGGGAAGTGGCCCGGGACCCGAAGGCAAGGGTTGCGGGGTGGCCTGGGATCCGAGTCCCAGCGGAATAGCCCTGCGGTCCTCCCAGGCGGCTGGGACTCCCTCCACGTGGCCCATCCTTCGAGGCTGCGTCGAAAGGACAGCGACGAGAGGGGGCGCTGTCCAACAGGGTCGGCAAGCATCAGTTTTTCGGAAGTCCCTTCTCCACCTGCAGGGAGGAGGGCTGGGGCACTTGTACGAAGGAAAACATTTTTGTATGTTTCCACGGAAGTTTCCAGAAGCCACTATTTCCTCACCGGGTGGTTCCGCCCTCTGCCACCACCCTTCCCCCAACCTCCCCCCGACGCCCATCAGATCTCTCGGAATTTGCTCCTCCCCGGGGTTCACAGCCCGGAGCTGGCCAGGCTGAAATTTGGGAGGCGAACTCCATTCCCAGCCCCTTCGCTCCGTAGCCCTTTAATTGGCTCTGGCAGAAAGTCTCCATTCGTAAGATATGCCTGCAGGAAAGGAAGGGGTTGTTAGATTCGCCCCTCATTTCAAACACGGAACACCATACACAGACCTGTTCCCTCCTCAGCCCATTCAAAGCCTGCCCAGGCCAGGCGTACCTATGCCTTAGGTGGGGGCTGTATTCCTTCCTTCCCATCTACTGACATTAATTGAATTTCTCGGCGCTTGCTGCTTCTCTTTGCTTTCCTCATTTTTCTCGCTAGTCCTCTGATAGGCTGACCTTGGCGGTTCTCTGGTCTCCTTACCCCCCAACTGGCCTCCCATATGGGTCTTGCTGGCTTTCATTCTTTATGACTTAGCACATCCACTTTATCTGCTTTTCCTTTTAGTACTGACATTAGGAAAATGATACCGGATTACCTATAAAGTAATACTGCATCTATGAGGCTGGAATTGGGCAAGTACACAAGGAAAATGTAGGCACTGAAATGAAAAAAAAAAAAAAACAGAAAACGAAGAGGATGAGGAAAGAAGGGGATGGTAGATACTGAAGTCACTTTGGGCTATAAATACAAGAATATGATATTTCCTGCAGGTGATCTTTGGGTCCTAAGGAGAGTCTGCCACATCAGCCTTGCAAGTCAGGGACAGAACTTTCTGAGTAAGGCAGGCTGAAGTTTCCTCTCCCTGACTAGGATTGCTGCTGAAGATGGGCCAGCAGTTCTAAATGCTGTATGTCTGGTCCCCAGGGAGGTCCAGGAGGCTGGGAAGGAATTATCACGTATAGACCAGTGCTCCTAGAAATGGTCTGTAGTCAGCGTATCTCTCTGGGGCTGTTGGGTGGCTGAAACTTCCGGCCAGGAGTCTGCTCTGGCGCTCTGATTCTTTGGAGGGCCATTCCTGTGCTTCCCTTCTGACCACCCAGCCAAGGCCCTCAGGTGGATGAGCTACTGCCTCCCCTGAGCTGCTCAGTCACTCGATCACATGGACTCTTTGTGAGCCCATGGACTGGAGCCCACCAGGCTCCTCTGTCCATGGGGATTCTCCAGGCAAGAATACCGGAGTGGGTTGCCATGCCCTCCTCCAGGGAGCTACTCCCCTACACCTAGCAGATTGAGTCCTACTAGTCCAGCCCCACCCTCCCCTCCTGTCAGTTGTATGAGTTCCATCCTCCTGCTTTGCAGAATACGGAGTGTGGAGGCTCCCTGTGCTAGGAGGCCTGTCCTGCCCCCCACCCCTTGGCTCAGGGTGAACCTATGCCTGCAGACCACTCTTGCTTATCCACAGAATGAGTCCTAGAGAGATGGCCGGGTGGGGAGGAACCTACAGAGTTTACAGCTAGTGTGTGTATATGGGATGTCTTTAGATCTGTGTGGTCCCTATAATTTGACATCTGTTAAAGAGAACATCTCCCCTGGAGGAGGGCATGGCAACCCACCCCAGTATTGTTGCCTGGAGAATCCCCATGGACAGAGGAGCCTGGGGGGCTACAGTCCAGAGGGGTCGCAATGAGTTGGACAGGTCTAAGCGACTAAGCACAGCACAGCGCAAAGAGAACACCCAGGCTTTTAGGATGAGTTTTGCAGAAAATTGAGCAAGCCAGCAGGAGCTGTACAGAATCTCCACTACACACACAGCCCACCCCGCCTCCATCTATGGGTTCTCCTGAGATGTTACCAGAGGCGAAAATGCTTTGCAAGGACATCTGAAAACACAACGCCTGCCTAAGAGGCACTATCTTGAGGTTAATAAATTATCCCCTTGCAACATAAAAATGGAATCAACATTAAACACATGCTATTATTAGACCGAGTTTCAGCCTAATAGAAAGTTCGTTAGATGTTGGTATCTGGGCAGCAACGACGGAATCTCTTTTCTTTAGGAACACTCATCAGGGAAAAAGCAGCAGTTCGCTGGTTTTGTTTGATTTCACTTGTTCAGAAAAAGGTTGTACGGTAAGATCGTTTTAAAAATCCCTTCAGGTTAGGGTTTGGATCATCGTCGTAACCCAGTGAAGCTAATACATTCATTATATAATCCGGGGTCAAAATACACGGAAAATTTTTTTCTCAGCCGCACACCAGACTTCTTGGGGAGCTTTCCAGAAGGGGTTGGGGTCCGGGTGGGCAGGCAGTGCTCCGGTCTCCAGCTAGGAACCGGGTGGAGAGTCACACAGGCTTGGGGATGGGGGAGAGGCTTGGTGGGAGGAGAAATTGGGGCTTTGGGCTGGGCGTTGGGGGTGGGGGAAGCCGCAGTGGGCGGGGTGCTGTTTGCTACCGGGGTTGGAGGGGAGACCTGGGGGGTGGGGAGAGCTGAGGCCGCCGGCCGAAAGGGGGGGCGGGGTGCGGCGCGGTTTGCAGGCTGCTGCTTCAACTGATCCTAGAAACCAAAACTTTCTACAACGAGAGACCATAAAACAGCTTGAGATTTTAAGTGCCCACCCTTCTAGCTAGGACCGCTGACAACCAATACGAAACCGCGGGGTCGGGATGGGGTTGGGGGGCTCGGGTCTCCGGCGGTGAGGCTGGGAGGCCTCCGAGCTTGCCCCTGGGTTTAGGTGGCAGCTCACCGCCCCCGTCGCGCTCGGGAAGGACATCGTGGCTTCAAGCCGCGAATCTTGGCCCCAGACAACCTCTTCAGGCAGCCCTTCCTTTAAAAACAAGTTTGAATTTTTCATCAAATCTTTTACCCGTGTGCTCTTCACTAAATGATTAACCAGCACCTAGGAAAAGCACTAACATGGTTTTTCTCACCTTTCCTGCCGGCTCCCCGCCCCATCCCTATCATGGAAGCTTGATATTCTAAGCAATTAAGCTATATATTCAACAGGAATATTCGATTAAAATACATCGGGACTAGAGGCTGATGCATAAGGTCTGAGGCTAGAAGAAAATATTTAGTGCTTGCCTGCAGATTCTGTCACCCATCATCCGCTCAGAAAGCGCTCTGAATCTTTCAGCGTGTCCGGCTCTTATGATTGCAAATGGCCCTGTTTTCAAATGGAAATAAGACTTGCAAACTGATTATGTGTATTGAATCGGAATCACTCACTAGATCCTCTTGTTTAAAATGTATTGAAAAAAGGATGATGGCTGCAGACCTCTGTAACCAGCTCCCTCTCTTCTCAGGGAGGTCGATCTATTTTGCAACTTTTTGCCATTTGAGCATGTTTAAGCTGGATAATTATGTTGCCCTTGTGTCACCGGCCCAACGCAAAGACTTGGTACACACACTATCGCCTCTTCCGCTCCTTGGCCCTGCTTGCTAAAAGCACCATCCCTTAAACACCAGATACACCAAGACACACCACACACTCATCCACCCTGCCCCAATGCTTCCATCTAATGACCAGCTCTAACCAGGGAGTCTCAGCTGTCACAAACACCAACAGAACCTCACACACTTCCACTGGGCCCAGTTGTTCCTTTCCTGTCCCCTCCAGTCTCCTCTCCTTCCTCTCTCGTCTTACCAGTGATCAAAACCACAAACACACAAAGCCCCAGCTTCCACAGACACCCAACCAACAGAATCTAAGTACTCAGCCATGTTGAGAATTTTCAGCAACTAATTTTAGGTTGGCATGACATTATAGTTGATAGAAAACAGTTCATACAGGAAGGTTAATGTCAACTGTTAGGGATGCATGATGGTCCTTGTATGGGACCATCGATGTCAATGATTTTCTCTACACCCCTTCCCAATCCTGTGCTAGATGATGGCTGTGGGTGAGTTGGCTTTTGTTAAGTATTTGCAAAGTTTCTCCTGTTTGATTTGCAGACAGACATCAGAGTTTTACCCACTGTGTGAGTTGTAGGTATGACACACTACAGCTCTTCCAAAATTTACTACACCCTGGCCTCAGCCTCAACAGTCCTACCAGGGAGCAGTAATCAACATGTCAGTGACTACTGCAGCCTGGTAAGTAGTAAGGAACTGGCTACAGTTTCTATTTGCCCTGGCCAGAGGCACAGACGTATGTTCTGTGCACACCTGTGGTGCAAGAGTTGCAGTTCTTTCTGAAGCACACTCTCACGGGAAGGAAGAAGCCAGTCACTGCCCAGAACCACCCACCCTCCTTCAGACTCCACCCAGAAAACAGCGCCTTGCAGACCTAAAGGCACCA